AAAAAAAAAAAAAAAAAAAAAAAAAAAAAAAAAAAAAAAAAAAAAAAAAAAAACATTTTCAATTCGTACAGTCATTAACGAGGGGCGCGTGTTTAAATTGAAAACCGATAACTCGTTACTTTTTCCTTCGAGAGAAAACCCCGGGGCTGTGCTGTGTATATTGTGTACGACACACTTGCATCCCGCTTAAAGCGCTAATTATACTTTAATACGGGAATTAGGGGCGATGATTTTACAATCGATCCCCCCCGGCCGTGTACAACGAGTCCAACCGCGGGGCTGCTCCCCAGCGATAATTCACTTGGACCGTGGGCTATAATTATTAATTATCGCCGTGCAGCGAAAAACGTATACGTTCCTATGTATAATAATAATAATATCCGAATATCCGCGAGTGAGAGTCGTGTCGAAACTCCCCGACCGAGCGACCCCGTTGCGCGCAAGTGCGTATTGAAAAAAGAGAAGAAAAAAAAGGGGGTCAGCCTCTCTCACCTTCGAGGGCAGAAAAAGGGCCACACTTCATCCGAATGGAGCACTAAATATTTCGGCCGAGGAAATTGCAGAATCTCGTATTGCGGAACGGGGGGAAATTTTTTTTTTTTTTTTTTTTTTTTTTTAAGTAACGGTCCGAGGAGCGGTTTTTTTGCCGACGCAGCTGAAATTCGATTACCTTGGCAAAGTACACACACGCAACCGCCAATACTTTAGATAAGTACTTGCCGTTTCAGCAGAGAGAGAGAGAGAGAGCGAGCGCGTTTTAGCGGCTTTGGCTTTTCTGGACCCAACCCTATGTACCACGCTGTCAACAATTTTTGTTATTTCATAGGATTGGTCCTTTTTTAGTTGTATCAACGAAAAACACTGTTTATTTCGAGTCGCAAACCAAATACTAATATATTTCAGTGAAAAATATTATTGAAAAGAAATATTATTTTTCTTTGTCGTGATGAACGAAAGAAACACTTTTAGAGCTAATAATTAAGATTAAAAAAAAAAAAAAAAATCATAAACATTTTATTTGGTCTGTTAGTTAGTTGTATATTATCGATAATTTACTTTCTATTTTTTATTGAAAGTTAGACTTTCAGTTTCTTTGGACTTTTTTCAGTAGGATCTTGTCTCTATCCCTCTTCAACGCTTACCTTTATGTTAAATTTCGATCCAAGTAATAATTGCTTTTAGAATCTCTATCTGCATTCCCTCTTTCACTTTTTGTCTTTGAAGTACTTGTGCAAAATTTTTTCAGCCTTTATAGCTGCGTACGCCCTTTTTTTCATGACTGTTTTGATATTCAACCATCAGTTATTTTTCCTTTAAATCTATCATTACTTCATCCTGATACTGTGTTTGTATTCTATAAATTTATGATTACATTGTCATCTCGTTTTCTTTGTACGTTACATGTTTATCTTTGAGGCTTTGTTTTACTGTGCATATGTTCCTTATCTTCAAGTCTTTGAGCCTACGTTGTTGCCCGTGTGTCTTTTACTTGCTACTATCAACTTATTTTCTCAGCCTCAATAAATTTCGCGTTTGCTACTCTATGATTTATCTCCAGTCTTTGCCGCTGCTTTACTGATTCTGCAAGGCTTTTAAGGAAACAAAAAATTATCTTCAACTATCTTATTTGCTTAGCTTCTAAATTTCCTTTATGACGCAGTCTGCGAATAACCTGTGACTCTGTTCAGGTATTTTTTATTCTTTTTTTTTGCTTATTTACGTTTTCCCCTCTTTAATGTAGTTAACAACTATTATGATTCATAAGATGGGACGTGGACAGTCGGGGATGACGAGTCTGTGTTTTTCTGTAAAAAATAAGAATTCCCTCGTTAATCAAATTCCACTCACGCCGCGATATGCAAAGATTGTTTTTTTTTTTTTTCCCAGTCTCAGGCGTCGATCATCGATCAGGGTGTTTGAAGAAAAAAAAAAAAGTTAGAACAGCGCCGACAGGTGCATACTTGTATACTAACTCTCGCGCGGTCGAAGGCATGCAAAAAGAAGCCCAAAACACCCCTCGTCATGGTGTAGGTACCTACAGGCCAACTTGAAGTAGCGCCTGTCGAAACTTGGCTCCAACTTTTTCAATAATAATAACAGCGATAACCCGCGCCAGGGCGCAGAGCACGCGAACCGATAATATTACAGCTGGTGTATCCCGCACCCCTAGCTCGTTGCCTCTCATTACACGTTTGCTTTACCAAATTTCCAGTTTCGGTTTACAAGCCGTACATGTATACCTGTATATACTAAATGAATACATACCCAATAATAATGAATCCTCGATGCTCATCGGAAAAACCGACAACAGAGAGAGAGGGAGCCGAGAAAAGGGGTTGGATAGACAGACGGGGGTAGAAGTAGCAGGAGGGGAAGCGATAGCTCGGATTGATCCGAGGAGGGGCGGCCGAGGGTGCCCGTAGTCTCGCTGCCAGAAATCTATCTCGGTCAAACGGCGTTAAAACAAGAAGACGAAGCAGGTTGTTCGCTATATACGAGAGGGGGGGGGGGTATATCGAGGGGGATTACACACCTACTAAATTTGTTATATACCGATGGACTGAGGATTATTGGGTTCTATGTACTGCTGGTATACTGGGAAATGGGCCGAGGGGAGGAGAAAAAAAAAGGAATTGTCTGGTTCCGAGTATCTTTTGCTACGGCTACTATTAGCTGATGGCTGGCTTGCGGCGGCAATCGGAGCCTCGATAAGTTTCAATTAACGTCGCGTTTCCATCGATCGGTATATATGCCTACAACTGAGCCCGGCTTTCTTTTTTTTTTCTGTCTCTATACATATACATATGTACTTGGTAGGTTATCACTTCTGTATTTTTTTTTTTTTTATTTATTCTTGATAACGATGAGTGCACCTATACTTTACGATAAAATCGTCATTCACAAGTACGAGATGGAATCTGTAAGCGTGTAACTCTGCAGGCGCTCTTTGCAAAAGTTTCGTAGGCGGAAACTTTGCGTAGAACCGAGCAATGGATGACGGGCGTGGCTCGGGCGAAAAACTACTTTTACATTTATAAGTACACGTACCTACGCGCAATGGGCCCAAAATCGAAGTTTACCCATTTGTTGATTATCCTCGATACTCTTTGTTTCGAAAATGTTTCCCACTCGTTCCCAACGCAACAAAGTTTTCGACAAGTGGCGCCTGGCTTGCTCGCACGAGAGCGAAATACATGACGCCGCACCAGAGCCCGAGACTCGTGGGGGAAAAAAAACACCGCTGAATTTTACAAAAGCAATTCCACCGGCGCATCACTTCTGTATTGCTGAAACGCAACCGCGGACCCGAGAGTGATACACCCGATGCATACAAAAGACCCATCAATACGAAAGTCATTAGGCGCATCTTCCCCCCCCCCTTATTTTGTTTTTTTTTTGCTCCTCTTTCTCGATATTTATTTTCTTTATTCCCCCCGCCACGCCAATCCTCGGTTTCCCCGATCAATTCCCCAGCTCTCTTTGTCATCCCTCGGTGGCGCTCTCGACTGTATCGGCTTTCTCCAGAGCGAGAGAGCTTCAGGGAAACCCACCCGCGGAGTGGCTGCGGAGGGGGACAAGGGAGACGGTGAAGTTTGATCCCTGATGCTAGTTGGTAGTAGGAAAGCGGGGGGGGGGGAGTGACGGAGGGTTGACAAGATGCATATACCATAAACATATGTATATGTATGCCCAGCGGAGAGAAGGGCGCTTTGCAAGCTCTTGTTATATAAAGGTGATTACATCTGCTTTCAGGCTTTCGCAATGTGGCCTGGAGCACTATCGCTGATAGCGTTACTGGCACTCCTGCTACATCCAGCAAGGTGAGTTTATCGCTGTTCCCCTAACTGCATGTATGGCTCATATGTGTGTGTAGCTCCGGTGCTTCTGGTGATGCTGATGGTGCCACACTCGCTCGAGATTTCTGTCTCTCTCGTGCATGCATACACGTAGAACCGACCTCTCCTCGCACACGTGGCTTTAGCGTGTAGTTGCCCGCTGGTGGACACGCACTGCACACTCCATCAATCACTCCGGCGAAAGACCGAGTCAGCAGCAGTGGCCCCTTGCAAGCTCCGAGGATGCATTACTGTACTGTGACGCTTGTCTTTCGACTCGCTCGGACGATCTACACACAGTCCACCAAATGTCCTCGAGCGAATAATGTTTTACTTGCCGGTTTTTCCATCCCGCCCACTTTCCTCGGCCAACTCGATCGACTCTGGATTTTCTTACTATATTTTTCATTTTCGCCCCCCCCCCCTACGAGCACTTTTTGATGCTCTATTACTACGTAGAATTGTTTTGGAGTGCGCGAGCTGATTTAATACGTATACCGTTCATCCGAAATATACCGGTTTCAACTATGTCTGAAATTCGCGCTGCCAATTATTTATTTAAATTTGCCCTCGATGCAATTCTCTATATGTGTATGTAACGACGTTAAATATGGCCCCACTCGTTGATTATCGGATTTCGTTAAACGCGTTAAAATTTCCCGCGTGTGTATACGTCACAAAGGTTTTTTTTTTTTCTTTTGCAATGTTAAATAAATTATTTTCATTGAAATAACGCGCGAAATTTGCATGACAAAAATCTACCACTAGCATAATACAACGCACGTATTCATAATTTTTTTTTTATCCAAACATTTGACGTGTTTTACGCGCACGGGATGCGTTCCATTGTGCTTACCTCGAAACGATACGCTCTTGACTCGTAGGTACCCTGCATGAAACTTTGACCCTCGACGATTTTTCTAGAAAATGAAATTTGTTATTGTTCTTCATTTTTGTTTCATCTCTAAGACTCCATTGTATTCAATTACCCTCGACGGTCCTTCCTTTTGTATTTTTTTTTTCTTTTTTAGACTTTTGAACCCTTTATCCCAAAGTTCTTTGATTCGTGATTTCCGTGCACAACAAAAAAAAAAAAAAAATCCATTGCAGCGGAATAGATTAAACGCCGTACAACTTGTCGCGGCACATAAAGAAAGCGCCCTTGCTTTTTCTTGTAATTAATTAACGATCCTCGGAAAGAGTCGAGTGTTTTTTACCCTCTTTGAAAGCTAACAATAGTCAACCCGAGAGATTTAAACGGTGCCTTTCTGTCGTTTCAACAAAAATCTCATCCACCAGCTTAAAATGCACTGTTACACAGAATCTCTCGTCTCGAGATGGAAAATATACATTTTTTTCTCTCACGTGGCTATAAATAATATGAACTAAAAATATTAATATTTAATCGCTTTGCAATACTTGAATTTAAATAACTTGTAAGAGCATTATAAACCTAAAATCGCATGGTTCGAGAGCACCATCCCCTCTATCTGTGACGTTAAAAGAATCAAAAAAAAANAAAAAAAAAAAAAAAAAAAAAAAAAAAAAAAAAAAAAAAAAAAAAAAAAAAACACGCACGTTGAGAGAGCGAAAGAGAGGATCGAGTAATATCAGTAGAATGAGTCAACGCGTAGTCAGGCCGTACGGAAGCAGAGGCCCGCGAATCTATTTCACCGGCCAAATTCCCCCAGAAGAGGCTGGAATGTCGAAAAAAATTCTATCGGTCGTAAAATCGTAAGCTCGAATTCCTCCCCCTTATACACAGGTATGCCGGCCGGTACGTGCTCAATCGTTGCCCATTGGGAATTCCCTTTACTCCTCGAAAAGGAAAGCCTTACGCAATACCACGGCAGATTACGTTCCTCGAAGAAGTGCAGTTACATTCCACGTTGACTGAAACGGGAGAGGGGTGGGGGTGGAGGGTGTCTGAGCCAAACTCTCGCAATGAGCCGATGTACGTATATATACAGAGTGTCCTCGTGACGACAACGGCGCCGCTGGGGACGAGTTTCGGCTGACCAGTGCCGCATAAATCGCGACGAGCTGGATAACCGGGGATGCACGCGCGAGTGTTACAACGGCCGTAGCGTGTGTTTGCTGGCACTGTGAAAAAAAAAAAAAAAAAAGAAAAAAGAAAAAAGATAGCGGAAGAGGAACGAGTGCGCCGGGCGCAACAGCGGAGGAAGAAAGCCATTTGGCAAAGTGGATATCCGGGCTGTTGGATTACCTACTTTTTCGGCCCCCCTCCCCCAAGGAAACAACAAGGTGGGGAGAGCCCGGTCGAGGATTAGGTACACATGGGGCGTAGGAGCTGGTCCTCGCGGACTCAACTTTTCTGATTACACCGAGCGAGTCTCGTCTCCGGTGCGCCAAAGGGGCCATACTGCAGACGTATACGGGCGAGCACATCGATCGATCGGTCACTACGTGCATACATATAGCCGCCCTGCCTCCGTGCGGGCTGCTCGACGGACAGCAAACTCAATTTTCTTCACTTTCCGCTCTCTCCCTCTTTCCCCTCTTGACTCCTACGCCCTTTCGCCGCTCTCTCACGTACACGCCGCCCCACGGTTACACACACGCGAGGCCACGTATGCAAAAACACTCCCTCTTCCCTCCGGAACTTGTACATCGGGAAAAATGCACTTGCCTCCCCGTCTGCACGAGCGTACAGCCAAAGGGAGATCGACGAGAGAGGGCGGATATGTCAGAAATTCCGTTTCGTCCAAGTTTTCCACCTACACCTTCGCGGAAGTAAATCGGAGCGCATTTTGTTTTCACGCGGAGGAAAAAAACTGGGCAAGTACAACCGATAACACCGGCAAAGTGTGTCGACATGCTGTAGATTAAATCTCTCGAGATTATCGCATTGGAAAAAAGAAAATCCTCGAGCGTCCCGGCGTGAAATCGTTTCGGATTAAATTTTTTTAATTATTCCGCGCGGCTGGGAGGCAAACTGTAAATATGCTTTTACTCTAATTGAAACGCGCCGTGCCGGGGAGACTGTGGGGCGCGCCGCTAAAGACAACACGAAGAGGGAAGAGCGCACTTGCACGTGCAGGTGACTTTTAATCAGACCTGCGGCTCTGATGATTGTACGACGTGTGTGCACACGTTGTTTCGACGCCGTGATTTTACCCGGGGACGAGTGGATTTCGACTCGGCAGCGGTGCGAGAAACGCGAACGGTGTTCGACGCGTGCAACAACTGTACGATCTCGGAGTTGTGTTTCTTGCTTTTTTTTTTTTTTTTTTTTTTTTTTTTTTTCCGTTTCTTTTGTTTCTCGTGAAAAAATGTACGGTGCCGCGAGCTGTGTACATTATGTGCGTCCCGTGAGTTTTCACGATTCGCATCGGCGTGCATTTGGTCGCTCCGCGCTACCGAGAATGGAGGAATCGATGTGGGAGATTTTTCCGGAGAAAGAGGGCGAACCGACGATGAATACCGTGGGATTTTGCTTTCAAAAGAGGAGCCTCGCGTTTCGGAGACTCTGGGGGTTGTTTTCCCCCCCCCCCCCACACGCGTATCGAAACCTCAGGATATCGAGAGGGGGTTTGATGTGTAATTTTTCGAGAAAGATTTCACGGTTGCTAGCGGCTCTTTGGAATTTCATCAGTTTCATCGATACGTTTTTTCGGGGCAAAAACCGAGAATGGTTATTAGTTGCGAGGCTTCCTCGAATATTTACGTGTTTTGTTACATTAAAAAAAATCTTGTTTAACCAACGTGTACAAAAATCAGGAAAAAATACATTCAATGAAATCTAAAGATAAAAGGAAACTGATGCATTTTTTTTACAAGAGCAAAAAGTTTTATTGATGATGCAGCTTGTATATTTTCCAAACTTCCGCATTACATTATCCATTTCCACTAATTTCTGTAATATTTAATTTAAAACGCATATCATTTATAAACAGTAAAATTCAAGCGAGTAATGTAGTTCGATTGAGAAGCAACAAAATAACACGTTATTGAAATATATGATTTTTCATCAATTATAAAACTCCCCAACACAAGAATGCAATATTTAATTGCACTCCAACATCGACGCGCACATCCCTTTATTTAACTTCACCTCGGTGTGTTGTGTTTTATTTGTGTGATGTGTACACGATTGAAAAATAATTATTGGAATTTCATTGTACTGGACGACGCATTCGCATAAACGAATATTTATAATGCAGGAGAGAAATCACAGGGTGTAAAATAATTAAAATCTGCTAAGTTGAAGGGGAGGGGGGGGGGGTAGAAATAAATCGTGACACGCTCGATAATCAAAGGTCCCTTTGTCGCCGAATAAATAATCAATATAAAATACACCGCAAAATATATATAATATCCATAGGTATGCCCCACGGTGATGATTTTTACGTGGCACATAAAGCTCGCAATACGGTGCATTAGCATAATTTTTTCATCTATAAACATAAAAGAATCCGGGGGACGTATGTGTGGGTAGAGGCCCGAGAGAGACGGCACTGCATTATTCATCCGCTCGACCAAAGTGTTTTTTCTTTTTGTTTTATTTTGATACGCTCACGGACCGGCTGACCATATCACGGTCGTCTCCACGCGTAGCCACCCCCTCTCCCACATATCTATTTATCTGTCTGGCCCCACTGTATATACACCGTGGATAGATAACAGTGAGGGGGGGGGGGAGAAATAATCGTAGACTCGTAAACCGTTGACTCATCCCTTGTCCCCCCCCCCACACACACACCTACCTCAATGGCCAATCCCGGTAATATGGAGGGGGACGTGGTTGAGTCGGGCGCCAATAATAGAAAACGCAGTGGAAGAGACGGAGGGACGTAAATACGTACACGTTGCATAAGCAATGTATACACGGTTCCTTGACCCTTTCGCGCGCGGGGGTAGGTGCGGGAAAGCGATCTCGTCGAAAGGGCACAAGGCAGGGTTGGAGTCCGTTTCGACCCGAAGATCAACGCTGGGCGAGGGTCCAGAATTTTCCGTGTTCGCGT